TTGTACCCCTAAATATTCAAAAGTGAGTATTCAAACTTCAGCCGAAGTCCTTGTTCGTAAAAATGGATCACGGAGTAAGATTTTTAGAGCATTTAAATGAAAAGAATCGGTTTCTTGAAAATTAGTTCATTTATATATTTGTTTAACCTTGTTTCTGGTGTTAAAACTTTCCAAATATTCGATCAACCTGTCTACAAGGTATTTTACGGCATGAAAGCTCTTCGGCTTTGAAAAATTGTTGGACTGTTCTTTCCGTCAAGTTGTGGGGCTAAGGGGAAAGACGTATCCTGAAAGACTTAAACACCTCAACCTATTTACCTTGGGTTATCGCAGGAAAAGGGGTGACCTCATTATGGCATACAAGATCGCCCATCAGGCAGACCATGCAAACAAATCAATTTTGCCTGCAACTCAACGATCTTCACGAGGAAACCCCATTAAGATAGCATACCAGAGAGCCAACACCACACTCAGGTCCAAATTTTTCTCCCTAAGAGTATGTACTTTATGGAATGCCTTACCGCGACACATCGTTATAGCTCCTTCAATCGACTCTTTCAAGAGGCGATTAGACAGATGTCACCTCGCATGGACTACCACGGACGTACTCAGGTAGTCACCAACCTCATCATCATCATTATCAACATAGGACCAGGCACCAACCTCAGTAGCCCCCAACTCCCTCCTAACTACCACTCACTATCTCCCTCCTTAATACACCCACATTACCTACTAATTCTTCTGTAGAAACCAAACCCACGCGACCATTCGGACAATTCCCAAATACTTTTCTCTCGTTCTCATTTCTCTTTTCACCCCTCCCTTTCTTCTTCCCTTTTCTCTTCCCTATATTATTATTTTTTCCTCTCCTTTTTTTATTCTCTCTTCATTCCTTTACCACTATTTTACTATTCTCTTTCAGGTACCTACACAGACTGGAGTCACGGCAGTTCTCTAAACTTCCCAGCAACCCGTAGCTCCCTAATCACTCTACAAATTACAACTTACTAACCCACAAAGCATCCACCTCACCGAAGCTAAAAGCAAGAAAGCAGAGGGGATTTCCTCGTCCACTGCAGGAGTAAACCGAACAACTGGAACCAAGCCCTAAGAACTAGACGCGAGAGATCAAAAACTACCAGTTTTCTACGCTCGCACTATCAATATTGGATATTGGAAGTGATGAAAATATCTTGTAAGATGTTGAGTGGTGACTGTCATTAACTTGGCCACCCTTTTTACAACCCCTAAGCTTTACCTACCGGCTGAGCCCACCTGACTGTGTGCATAGGCTTCACGTGGTACTTAAATAGGTTTCGCTTTTGCAGTATCGTTTCACATACCGCTTCTTCCAATTCACATGTCTATCCTAGTTTCTCCCCACTTTTTTATTTTCATGATGACGACTGTCATGTGGTGATTCGTATCCGTTTGCCAATATATTCGAATGACTGCCTCATTATTTGGTTTATAAATCCTGTTAAGGAGTATAGCCGCCTATGCGAAAATGTTTTAGTCTGGTAGTCTCATAACAGGCTAGTTCTAAGGATTATATGTCTTCGTGCTTAATTTTTAGCGCTTGACAGCAATCTTTGCAGGTATTCCATAAAACCTCAAAAGGTTTGATTAGAGATTATAAAAAAGTAAAGAAGGAGCATTAAAAATGTAAGGCAGAAATGATGGGTAAGATAGTATCAGCTGTGAACTAAGTGAGCTATGGTGACACTGATGATAAGCAGCTGTGTATTGCAATATTAAAGGGGGAATTTCAGTGGACGGACATGTTAATTACTGCAGCTAACCTATATCCATTAGCTGTATATTGTTTATCTTTAGACCTATCATCCTTTTGGGAATGCTAAGATAATGTGGGGGAAAAATTTAAGGTGACTAAGTCGTGGAAACATCCCACTGAGTTTCTATCTGTCGGTTCGAGCTACATCAAGGAGTGGGAAGTATATAGCTTGGTTCCTTGGGATGCTGTAGATCAGTAGTTGACTGGAAATCAAGGGCTTTGGTGCGGATATATTTACTCCTTATCATTTCTGAAATTTTGGACATAGTACTGACGTACTTTAATTTATGTGTTTATTTATTTTAATATCACTTTTGTACTCAACCTGTATCTATGCTGTTGTGACGTGCAGCAGAGGAAAGTAATGCTTTTTGTGCAAGATTCTAAATATATATGTCTGCATGTAGCAAAAAATGTATATTGTAGATTTATGTAAAAGTTGTATATTCATTTAAATACGGATAGCCGAGTGCAATTATCTAACGCTGTTTTGACTGTTGTCTCAAGTAATGTTGTGTATATTTGTGGTCATAAGCCACACCCTTTTTAAGCTAGTGAGCACTGTCTGACTACTCAGACATCAGTAGGTGAATCTGAGTTTAAATCCATGATCCACCAGTTAAAAGCCAATTACCTAGACCAATAAGTTCTAACTTAATGTCACGAGTTGGCGGGCATAGTGTTTCGGATGTTTATTAAGCTAATTGTCATATTTTCATTTTGTTGATTGTAGATTTTGGAACTCAGTAATTCTGCATGTATAGGCTATTATTCTCACGTTTTCAGTCTTTCAGTAGCGAAACGTTTACTACTTCACCATGAGCCTCTCATACAAAGGTCACGGAGCACGCTTCACTGTTTAAATTTCATCAGGTGTGAACCTTCGAAAAAGCTGACTGGGATATTAACGATCCTTCAGATTTCAATAACCTAACCGTTTTCAGCATGGATGACACATGTTTCTTCATTAATTTAAACTCATGCGTTAGCAGGAAATCATTCGAAGCATGAAGTCATCTGTAAACATTATCTTCAGGAGCCTGGACGTGTCACGAATGTCGTCCAAGTGGATTCTATACCGTTGACGGTTTGCCTCCTTTGGAACTAGCTTGGAGAAACAAAAATATGTTCAGTTCATCCAGTACACCGTGGAATGAGAAATGGTTGTATCGCATCTGCTTGTGGTTTTAAATTCCCTATGATTGAATATGAGAAAACATTAAAATTAGCTGTTTGAAATCAGATAATATATATCTGGGCCGAAACCAGTTGCAATCATGCTAGTTTATGTGTTTTTCACTTGTAAAGATAACACAAAAGCATTGCAGTATTCTTGATTGCATCTTTTAGAAGCGAGTTTCTGTTAACTCTTTCCCTTCTTTCCTTACCTCTTCATTTTCCTTCGTAGTTTCGTTACATCGCGTTGTCTAGAGTATTTGTTGACGCTCATGTATGGATTTTGTGTTGAAAGTAAACGTAAAACTACTGAAGTCCACGTATATACTGTCACTGGTGGAGACATGCACAGAAAACTGTGAGAAACCAAAATGAATAAACTTGCCGAATATTAGAGTACTTGTTCCAGTATTACCTGAATATGCAGGATGCCCGAGGAAAGTACAACATTCTGAGAACTTATCTGAAGATAGCTATCAGAAAAATCGGTTTCTTAGGAACTGAAAAATGCCATAACTTTGGATATCTGCTTCATGTAAGTTCCCAGACAGCATACACCTTAGTTGGCGCTTATATGTGCCATGGAATTTTCTAGACTGTTAGTTACTCAATGAGGCAACTTTGGAAAAATATTCTAGTTATATGGGTGAACACTTATTTCATGAGTCTTTGTACGTTAATCTGTTTTATGTTAATTTCTCATCTGGGAAGCTGTTATTGAGTAATCAGTCAAAAAAACAGTAATGGCCGGATGTTGTAGGTTTTACAGGCAAAGTTCTGTTTCTCATTTGAATTTCTGTACTTCCACGTAGTGTTTGCTGATAGAACATCAGTAAATGTACTGAGCATCAGTATCAATCCTAGCTAGATTTACTGAAAATGTATTTACTCTAGCATCCAATACTGTGTTCAGTGCAGCAGTTTGGCCACTTTACTTCGTCAACTGTAAAACATAGTTTATCGGTGAGACTTCAAAGATAGTAGTAAAATATAATCATAGTTTTAGGGTTCAGTACATGTTTGACCCTAAATCATGTTTCAAACATCTTTGAGCTTAAATTCTGTCACTTGTTAGGTCTGGTATATCTGCCTTATTTATTTAATGACAAAGTTGTGGTTATTTAGGAATAAAAATTCATGTTTTGGTCCACAGAATGAGGTTGATACTTCTTTATGGGCATCCAAACACTGTTCTTTTGAAAGTCCACTCAGGAATACGCTCATATCACAAGACTGAACTGTCCACACCAACTGCATGTAAAGGCTGGCAATCCTACTTAGATATACAGGTTAGTTGACCTGACACAAAAGTGAGCCATTGAAGTGCCATTGTTCATTTGCTGGTTGAAGGTTGCTGCATCACGTAGTGACTGAAATAATGACTCGATTTGGGTAAATATAATTTTCGTGACTAAATATGTATTTTGTTTTCATTTCAGATTGGTTAATTTTTGTGCTGAATTGCAGGAGGGAAACATCCTCAGTTTATCCTCCATTTCTTTTGATTGATGCATATGTACTACCTCACAAATCAGGAAATAAGTACTTCATTTTTACGGTGCTCTACAATTGGTTTTTCGTTATATGTGTAATGGAATCAGTGTTTAAGAGTACTGACGAGTCAAACAATATCTCTCTTGTAAAATCGAGTTCAAATACGGAGGTTGCCAACTGTTTCAGTGAGGATAAGGATAAAACAACCAGCAATCTACTTACCCAGGAAGAAGAATGCGTTTCTGCAAACGAAGCATCAAGTGTAGTGAGAAGTGATGTATCACTGTATACGGAACCTGCTACAGAAAATATCCATCATGAAAATGCAGGTTTAGTTGGAAACACAGATAAACCGGGCCTAGATCATCCTATGCTCTGGAGCATGATGACTCATCTGATGGACAATATAAAAACCTCAGGCCTCGGCGATCCGTAAAAAAGCGGTTTGTTGAAATGGAAGAAGATGAATGGGAAAAATTGTTAAGTGACGACTCTACGTTTCATGAATACGGTCCTGGTCAACATATCGATATAGATGAGGCATCAAGTAATATGGGTAGGTTGACACTATAATGTGAGATTTTTGCATAAGGAGTAGTGGTAAGATTGCTATTGCACCTTATTGAAATGTGTGGCGGATGTTTGCTATTTGGTTATTTTGGTGCTATTTCGTAAGTGATTCCCTGATGTTCCTGCAATATGCTACCTAGTTTCTTCGGCGAAAATAGATTGACTAGTACTATTGACTTTCAATTTGAATACTTTCTTTGCATCAGCTATTGAGAGTGTAGTTGGAAACGTAAAACAATCTCTTTGTAACCTGCAAGGTTTATTTTAATTAAAGACTTCGTAAATCCACTAGCAATGGATTTATTTTTCTGCACGTAGAAATTCAGAGTTAAAGTCTTTTCTCTCCCACTAGTGTGGTCTTGTGTCAAATGATCAGACATATATGCGACTCCTCACTGAGTCTTGTAGAATTTGACGAAACTTTTACGGTATCCAGGAGTCTCATTTGTAACGATTATTTCACAATCTGTTCACTTAGACTGTGTATCTTTTTTCTGTATTTAGGTCGCTGTGGAACAAATACTGGGAAATCGTAAATTAAAGAGCTCCAAGATAACAAAAGCTGGTAAGTAGGGGTATATTTATGCAGGTTTTGTGGTTGAATCATTTGTGTTAGAAATTATAATTTCAAGCTTTTGAATGTAATAAGTAATACTTGCGTATCATATAACTAACGGAGCATTTTCTATTTACTTCACAAAAGTCTGTTGCTATAAATTTTGTGAGTACGGAATTCCTTGAAAGATATCTTGTGTATTTGATATGGAGTTCACTTCTTTTGAATTTGGGTATTTTACTTGTAATTGATAACTTAATCTTATGTACTATGCAATTTCTTCCAATGTCTTCATTTCTAGTATGAATTTCACTTAGTGTTCATAATCATAGATAAATCATAGTTTCTTAGGTAAGTTGAATTTCAGTACTATGTGGCAGTTTTTTTTGTGGACACTAGGTGTTAATATTAATTGAGGTTGAGTTTTAATTAACAGCGTCATTTGTTGCTTCTTGCTGTAAAGTATAGATGTTTAACAGGATGCTAGATTTGCAAGGAAATTAGTAAAAAGTCAATAGTTAGTGAGACTGTAGCGAAGGTTGGGTTCGCAATTCACTCACATCGAAAACAACTGGAAGAATGGGGGGTACACTCCAAGAAAAGTTTCAATTGGCCTCCAGATACTCCGGCTACCTGGCATCCAGTGAGATCCTAAATATGATAGGCCGTAAGTAACCTGGGACAAGGATGGGCAGCAGGGCCAAATGGAGTAGTAACGCAGGTATTTAAGCACAGCGGTCGAGGAATATTGATTAGGTTAACTAAAGTGTTAGGTAGCTTATTGTAATTACATAGGATCCCGTTTAGCTAGTCTCAGTCTCTGACTATCCCGGTCCTCCAGAATGGAAGGAAATCCTTTTGCGATATATAAAGGTAGGAAACAGACAAACACAGTGTCTTAGATGATAATTAGACTTTCAGCGAAGCATGGGAGGAGCAACCTAGAGAAGCCCAGTCAGGATTCAAACCTGATCGTGGATGTATGGACCGTATACTTACCTTTCGTCAGGTTCTAGCACATAAAGACACTTACTGACGTCAGACACTAACTGTATTTCTTGAGTAGAATGCGGCATTTGAGATATCCAATGGTAGTTTTTATAACTAGGAAGTGTACCGGATAAGTACATCAACCTATTAGAAGACAGATAGAGAAAATCTACGTATTACCAGACATTGCTACTTAGTAGTTTAAGTTGTTACACTTCATATCAGCACATCAGCCGAAAAAGTACCAAGGTAGAAGAGAAAGAAACAATGAAGAAAGCAGTCAAGAGGGAGCAGAAGAATGAGAAAATATCCAATTTAGTATGGAAAATAAACTGATAATGTATGAATAAGTCTCCACCACTGACTATGTACTTGCATAACTTTTTCATCCTGTTTTAATTCTATGTAATTTTATTTGGTTAACATGAATTTGAACATTATTTCGCACCTCGAAGTAAAATCAGCTGATAAATCGCTAACAAAGAAAAAGCACTGGAAAATTGTTTATTCGTAGTTTACTACTTCTCAATAGTGAATATCCTCGATCATACCTGGGACCATCACACCACAGATGATGCAAGCATGAAAGGAAATCGTTGGCCAAAATGTTCTCGTTCCCAGTGGTTCCTCACTCAGTATTAGTGTGAGATGAAACATGGCCTCACATTAATTGTTCCTTCGTCAGTTATTAGTCAACTAGGAAATTTGCGAGGAAGCAGTTGGTCTTATAGTATATATAGCGCATCTCTACAAGCTAGAGAACCTTTTTAACCCATGCACCATTAGACAGATGTTTCATCTCAGTTAAGGGTTCATCAGAAGTGCTTCGAACTGAATCGAACAAACTTCTGTATAGGATAAAAATATAGCGCTTATTAACAACTTTCTTCGGAATGCATTTCCCTATATCCGTGCCCAAAGCCACAGGATTAGACAGACCAATGGACTAAACCTTTGATGGATCTCATATCAGAAGGATCAAACTACACCCTAGTGGTGTTCTGCTTGATTTTCAGTACGCCGACTATACTATCCTTTTAAGATGCTGACAAAATGCAGGATCTTTTGAACGCGTTAGGTGCAACAAATTTGCTAGCATCGACGACGACACTTTTGATGACCAGCAAAACGCAAAACTGGCTCATGGAGAGTTGTTATTAGAATCAACGACATCTAGTGGTGTCTATCAGGAGTTCCCGCTCTTACTGTTCCTGTTCATTTTCGTTATAGATGTACCAATGAACACAACCTTAGGTGCGTCTAACTTCACAGTGACTTGCTTACTCACTGGTGGTCATCTGGCTGACTTAGAGTACGTGGACTGTACTGTCCTGTTAAGTGAAGATGCTGACAAAATGTAGGGTCTTTTGAACTTGTTGAGCAGAAATCTGAGAATGTTAGGCATGCGTTTTGCACCTGTCAAGTGTAAGATGATGCTTCAGGACTGGTCTGCACCTAACCCTAGTTTAAGGATAGTGAGTGAGATGGTTGAATGCGTCGACTGCCTAACCTACTTGAGGAGCTTCATCGGCTCGAACAGGCTGGTTGCTGACAAAACCTCAGCTGGGATACAGAGGCTCGTTTGGCATTCGCCAACCAGCGTCATCTGTGGCGCCAAATATCGGGATATCCGATTACCTATGAAAGGACGAATGTACTGTGCTGCTATACGTTTGTGAGACACGGCCGTCAAAAGTAGAGGATATAAAGTGGTCACAGGTCTTTGACTATAAGTATCTTCGTAGCATTGCTCGCGTATGGTGGAATCACTATGTTGGCAATGTTCGAGGTTAGGTGAAGAGTGCTAGGTAAGACAGGCAAGTCGGTTCATGAGCTTGTGAACCTTCAGCAACTGAGGTGGCTTGGACGTGTTGCTCATGCGGAGCCACTGCGTGCATCGACGTAGAATGCTAGGGAAATTTGGATTAGGTTGGAAGATGGCACAGGGTGACCAGACCGAGACATAGTACCAATATATGAAGTCTCTGACTGTTGATCTTGAACGTGTATGGAGGTAGATGTAGACTACCTACTTGACTGGGTTTCCCGAAACGATAGGAACCAGTGGCTGAGGACTCTTGGTGAAATGCCTGAGAATCAGTCATAATGGCGCAGATGTATTGACTCATCTGAAGTCTATTGAAGCTTGATTGTTTTGACTACACTTCGTATTTAAATTCGTTCTCCTGATAATACACTTTTTGTGCTTTGATATTAGTCTTTTTCTATTCGCCTGTTTTTTTGTTCACTGCTATGAAGTGTTGCAAATGGTAGGGTTCTACATTGATTCTGTTTCCTTCTCTCTCTGTCTATATGATAAAGTCATGTAGGACTTTCATCGGGACTGTGTCTTGTTTCTTATATGCCGTTTTCAGAAATGAAAACGCGTTGAAGAAAATTATGTCATAATATTGATTGTTGCCAAAATTGTCACATAAATCTGTTTTGTATTTACTCTGAAACATGAGTAAAACCTTTCGAGTTTCTTATTGTCTGAAACGGGTTTTAGAATGCATTTCTTAGAATTTCATTAAAATGACAGCTGTTGGAACATGTGTGTATGAGCCACGTTTCAGCACATTTCTTTTTTCCGCATTAGATGTACGTGTTTTGTGTGTTTGCCTTTAGTCTGTGGACAGCACTGACTATTGGTTTACTATTTTTTATCAAGGCACTTTCACAACCTCATGCGCACTCATGCTTCCTGGGAGATTCAAGCGTATATGGTCTAAAATTTAAGGTGAAACGTTATTCTGGACGACGGTTGAATAACATACTGGATTAAAGACACTATTTGTTTCTGAATTGTAAGAATTTTCTTGATCTAGTGATCGATCATGTGCACTAACGGTCACCACTACAATGTTTATGATTTCAAGTCGCTTACGTCATTAGAGCTGTGGCTCGGTAGTATAGATACTGGACTTTCGACCACTTAATCACAATTTCGAACATTATTTTTCCCACCGAGATTCGAACAGCCAACCAATATCTTCAGTTCTCATGCTGTCGGTGTAGCCCACTGCCTTATGCACAAATTTGCACTTTTTTGTTGAGTACTCTCTTTTTATTTTTGTAACCTCATAGACCTATGAACTTGTCTGTAAGGTTCTACTCTGATTTATCTGTTTGTGTGGCTTTAGTCATTTATGGAAATGCAGACTTGCTATTTGATTTCTGTTTGACAACCTAAATCCCTGGCCAGCAATTGTATGTGATAGGATTCTGAATCGTTGTCAGTTGCGCAAATCCGTGCAACTACTTCATTCGTATGGATGAGCGTAACGGTTCTCATCTCTTTTTTACTGCTTTTTATTTCTTTTGCTCGACTATGTAACCCTTCTACTATTTCTTTCTTATTTTGGTATCCTTGATTTCGTTGGCTTGTATCTTGTGCCTTTATGAAGTGTAGCAATTTGGGTTGCTATGTCTTATGTCTGGTCTTACATTGATGCTGAATTTTTGTGTTTTTCGTAGTATTTTAGAAATTGTATAATTTTTAGCGAATAGCTTTTCACTAAGTACTACCAAAAGCGAAATTCTCTAAATCCTTGTTATACTAAAACTCAGTGCTTGCCAAATGATTCATAACAATCAGTGAGTTTTCGGACCAGAGCTATATTTTGTTTGGTCGTTTAAAAGTTTCTTCACGATCATTGTCGTTTTAAATTGCAATGCGTAATCGGAAACAAGAGCTAAAAATAAGCAAAATACACTTTAACCGTTTCAGGTCACATAGGTTCGAAACTGTGTACACTAATTTGCATCTTTTTCTGAAAACACTACACCTAATCTAAGCATTATGCTTCACAGATAACTGTACTATAACAAATCATGCATGCATAGTAAGCAGACGTTAGTGCACTAGATTATTGCAATGTAATTTATTGAGGTAGCGGATATACAAGAATTGTCTTTTGTGCCGCATGTTCTTCGAAGTTGGCAAATAGCAATGTAGCTAAAATAATTGTCAGAGTAAGTAAGCAAAACAGGAAGCTCCACTAATTCACTGTATTTCAGATTAGTTTCATTTAATAAGTAGATTAGTTTGTGTTCCAGCTGTTGAATAAAGGTGAAGAGAAACAGTTGACTTTCATTGAAATAAATAACAGTGTACGTAACCGTATTATCTGAATATATTGTTTGCTTTCATGTGTAACTTTCCCCCTGTGTATGTGTTAGTCTTTCTAAGTTACCATAATGTAACGTATATTACTTTCGCTACATATAATGTCCAGGTGTCTTATGTATTTGAACTTGCTTTTGTTTAATTTTCTTTTTGAAATTTCAGTCAGTGAAGCCATAAATTCTTTTTCATCAAACAACAAAGAAATTGTTGAACAAGAGTATTTTGTCAAGTTTGTGGATCAGTCTTATTGGCATTGTGCGTGGATGAGCGGAGCAGTACTGTTTACTCTTAATCCAAGTAAAACACGTGCTTACTTCAGAGCTAAACAGAGTGCTCATAATTTAACTACGCTCTCGAACATTCGCACATCCACTTTGAATGATGATGATAACCAGATTGAGAATTCAGAAAGCAATGAACATAAAGCTAAGGATTCACCGTATGGTGATACTTCAAAATGCACTAAAGCTGAATGTAAACTTACGACACTGATTTCTCATTCGAGTGAAGAGGAAAGTGATGATGAAGACAACTTAAGTAAATGGAATAAGGATGTCGAACTGGATGTTAACGAGTAAGTTAATTTTATATGAATAGATTTTGTGTGTATTTACTTGTATTGTATATCACTAGCCATATATAATCATTTGTAAGTACGTAGGTTTACCACCGATTATCTTTTACATATGTAAAATTAAGTGGAGGACATAACTATCTAATTCCACCTAGTTTTCTAACCCAGTTATATCTCAACGACAGAATTCTATCAGTACTGATCATCATAGTATCACCTTATCAGCTGGAAACCACTTATTCATATCAAGAATTCACTGTTAGTAAACCTTGACTTCTGTTCACTACACCATACAGGTAGAAGTTGTGATTTCAAACCAAATCAACTTTAGATCTTGCAAAGAGTTGCATTGGTCCAAGTTTCAACACTACAGTAGCGTGTAAAGAAATAGGAAATAGCAATGAAGCCTACACTTCCCGGCTCACATTAGACACTATTATTATATGTCCCTTGGATTCCTAGTGGAACATAGGGCTTCAGTTGCACGTGTCCATTGCACTCTGTTCTCTGCAGTCTTTTGAACCTGGCTCAACGACTGCCCACAAGCCTCCATTTCTTCCTCACACGATCTCCTCCATATTACCCTCTCCTCGGACGCCCAACTCGTCGTTTCCCATTTGGGTTCGACTCGAGGACCTGGCCTGGCTTGGTTTGTGATGTCCCCAATCAGTCTTCTCAGTGTATGCTCGATTAATCTCCACTTTCTTCTGCATATTAGTTCAGAGATAGGTTCTTGGTTGGTTCGTTGCCCGGCCAGAGTTCCTTGTTGCTTATTCATTGTGGCCATCTGATGTTCAGCATCGAGTGAGTGTAGGCGGTAGCTGTTGATGAATGACTGTAGTTTGTTGGAAGTGCTTTTCGTGACGCGCCAAGTTTCTGAACCATATAGCAGCACTGACGTGACATTGGTGTTGAAAATCCGGACCTTGTTATTTATGCTGAGTGTAGTGCAGTAGATCTCCGCACTGATTTCAGATTAATGAAAGCCTGTCTTGCTTTTCCGATCTTGGCTTTGACGTCCCCATCTGTGCCGCCACGTGTAGTTGAAACGATGCTGCCCAGGTAGGTGGAAGAGGCTACTCCCTTTAGGTTTCTCCCGTTGGTGGTGATTGGTGCTTGTTGTTGTTGGTTTGGTATCTTCATTACCTCTGTCTTCCCTACGTTCCTTTGAAGTCCCGTCTTCACCACCTCTTCTGTCAAGTTGTTCGAGCTTGTGGGACATCAGACATAAATGATAATCGGCGAAATCCAAATCGTCTAGGCTCTTTTCATTGGTCCAGCTAGCGTATGCCCATCTCCTCACTCCTCCCAGTTTGCTGCATGATCCAGTCCACCACAATCTGTCTCTCCAGGATGATGCGCCTTAGTATTTTGGTTGGAGTGGACAGGGGTGAAGCATGATTCCGCAGCAGTTCTTGCAGAGTGCAAACAAAGTGTAACTAATGTAATTGTATCATATTTAATCAGAGTCACATTGGTATCTTGTATTTTGGCATTCCGAAGACATGTGAATGGTGTTGTTATCATTATTTTTTGGAATCGTACAAATTCAGAATAAATATAAAGGCTTATATATTTGTACTGATCTTTCATTATTAATTTGAAATAAATTTACAGCTGAACTTAATAACTCTCGATTTTTTGGTTGTATTGCATGCATTTTCAATTTCTGAACAATTTGAACTCTCTGTTGCACACTCTTCTTTTCATCTTTTTTTATCCGCATTGCTGATAAATATCTCAAGTATCTACTTGATTCAGAAGTATATATATATTCTGATGGAGGGAATATACTAGATACCAAACAAATGTTGATGACGTATATTGCCAATAACTATTAATCTGTGTTTTATGGTAAAATGAGAAAGAGTAGATTTTAAAACAAAGATCTGAAAATTTGATGACACAACTGTCACTCGTGTCACAATAAAATTATATTTTATTGCCTGTTTTCTACAGAAATCACAATATTTCACTTCATTAACTTTAATCCTTTACGTATGTCTTTTCTTATTTGCTTTCTTCCGATGACTGTTCCTTTCTGGTGGTATTTCTGGATGAGTTGCAGTGGTCAGTGGTCAGCCCATTGTTTCCTTAGTTTCTCCTCTTTGGTGACTAAGTTTCCTTCACCATCTTTCATTGGTTTCATCTGTGTTGAACTCTTTCCTCACAGATGGTAACCTGGTTATTTGATATAACCTGCAGCCTGTTCTGCTTCACTTGCCAGTGTATCGTAGAAGTGTGTTTTATCTTTGCGCGCACTGTTCTTCACTTCTTCGTTCAGTGTAATGTTTTATATGTTGTGTTCAGTTCCTCTTTTCGTTGTTCATCCCCGCACTGCACTGCAGTGGTTCATCTTCTGCTTCACCATCTTCCTCTCCCTGCTCTATCAGCTTCCATGTATTCGTCGAGATCCACTCCTTGTCTTGCTTCTTCTTCCTTCCTAACACGGTTATGCAGGTTTCTTCCCACATCTCTTCTATAGAGTTCTATTGTTCTTCCACTCAGGTTTCTTCAGGGATGTTGCCTAACGTCTCCGATTTTTTCCTGATTGCTGACGTGAAGATGTCATTTGTAGTTTCGTCCTTGAGTTCAGTTTCTGTTCTGGGTGTTGAACTTGAACTGTCGTCTATCACCAACTTCTGTGAAGGCTTTCAACTTGATTTTGAAGGTTCTTCGTACCATATGGTGAGTGCTCTGAACGTACATCTGCTCCCCTTCTTGATCTTGTGTCCAGTAGTCTGCGCCTGCACTTTCTTGAGATTGAGTTGAAGTCGATTTGATCTTCAGTGTGTCCTGGTGTCTGGTGAAATCCACGTCGCTTTGTGGATATCCTTGTGTTTGTACACAGTGCCTCCAATCATCAAGTCATTAAATGTGCAGACGTCTGCAAACAGTTCTCTATTCTCCTTCATCTCACCGAGTGCTTCCCGACCCATGATGAGTTCTCTTTCTGCGTTGTCCGCTCCCAGTTTGGCATTCATGTCACCCCACCCATTAAAATTTCGATGTCGCCAACTGGAGTATGGTCTTGTCCATCACTGATTACAGTTGTCTATAGAATTCCTCCTTCTCTTGATCTACATTATTTGTAGGTGCATATCATAGAGTTGTACGATTGTGACTTTCCTTCCCTTTGATTTGAATCTTGCTATCATGATTCTGACCATGGAGGAGATTGGTGCCCACTGCATGAGAGTGAGCCCTCGATGCTGTTGGGGACATCATGATAGCCACTCCGAAACTCAGTGTGCTTATGGTTTTCGTCTGCGTGACAATATCAGAGTAGATTATTGACTCCCTAGTTGACAGTTCGGAGAGTCCACTTCATTGCATTTACTTTCCCGAATTCCTAGCACTTCTATGCTATATCTTCTCATCTGTTTTGCAATGTGAGCAGCCTTGCCAACCAGTTAGCTTCAAACATTGTGCAAAAATTCCATGTCGCATGTTCCATTCTTACTTTCGCTTTCATGGAGAGAAGAGAAGACAGACCGGCCAATTGGCTTCCTGAAGACTTTCAGCGGCTGGTGTCATTTCGTCTTTCCCATTCCAGTGAGGAATAAGCTTGTTTTATTTTTATATTTTCTTTGTTCTTTGAAGTTTCTTTAGTGATTGGATTGGTTTTTTTGAGGTAGGGTTGCTAACCCCATGCCCAGGCTTCCCTCTTTATCCGGGCTTAGGACAGGTTGATACCTATTGAACTATTCAACTATGCGAGGTTCACATTAGACCTACTATCGCCGAAGTAGTTTATAAGTATCATTTCTTCATGTGATCACCCTTAGCTTCTTTCGCAGTTGATGCTAGTGTGAGCAAATCTTATCAGGGTAAACATTAGCAAAGGATGGGTTAGCAATATCTTTAACATTTTAGTCGCTGGAAGTCGATTGCCTCATAAGCTGATTCGCCTTCGTCACCACCTACTCGATTTCCATATGCTATACACTTGGTGATCCCAGCGTATGCTAACGACGCTTTAAAGACAACGGTGCTATTAAACCTCTACAGGCACAGATCCTCCACTTCATTTTTCCTAGCCATAAAATAAAACAGAACGTACCACTGTGCACTATGTATGCGGTGCTTGATAAGTGTTGGGATACTCAACTTCCATTACAAACCAGTTGTAATTCACTACTGTTAGTATCATTATTATTATTAATACCAGAACACAGAAGTAAAACTGCTAGGGCACCAAGAAAGCACCACACAAAATAACAAAGCGTTAGTATGAAGACATAAAGCGAAGTGAAGTGTATCGAAAACATAGTAAGAATAGAGTGATTGGAAGGGCAGTTTAGTAAGATACACTCGAAACGAAATATTCATTTCTTTTCAGCTGCATAAAATAAAAGGAAGCTACAGCGTGATCGCCGCTGGTTTTGATTCTGTTTTGTACCTGATAAACATCTCAAGTCACTGAGTTATGTGACCTCTCAAACCCCACTCAGGGAGTCGTGATGCACCAACATATGCTAACCCAATACAACTATTCTTCATCACATAGTGCCACGTCATACACTGACCATCCCTCCGCTTCTTCGACCCACTCTCAGCGTTAGCAAACAGTGAATAGTATGGAAGCCATTGGGACGACATGCGTGACATGACAAAGACACCAAAGCCGGTGTTCCCAGATGACTTCACTTATTGAATGTTGATTTCCATCCTGACCAAACACACCCTGTCGTACTTCAGAATTACTTACATGGTGTTGCCATCAGATACGATAAATCCTATGGAGACGACGATGATCGAACACAGAGTTGTCCCACATCCTCAGCTCGGACAGACCAGGTTTCGCAGGCGTACAGCACAACCGCTCTCACCGAAGCGTTGTAAACGCGAACGTTTACGGTCAGACTAACGTCACAACAGCGCCAAAATTAGCTCAGGTCGGCGTATACCACTCTGGCTTACGATATGAGGTTAGAAATTTCATCACAGCACCAGCAGTTACACAACTACCCAGATATAAGAACTCTTCGACTGCTTCCAACGGCTCAGCATGGAGGGTGAGCTCAGGCAAAGGCACCTGCTAGTCTTGGAAAAGTACTTTGCACTTCGGTGGCGCAAAGCACATGCCATACTTGAGGACACTAATCGCTAACTGATTAAGTGCGATTTGAATAGCCTGTGTGTCATCGCACAGAAAGATGATATCGTTCTCATATTCAAGGTCGAATAGCCGTTCTCCGGGTAGCGGATCTACATCACCATCACGCACTTCCTTCAGAGTTGTCTGAAGAATGTCATCGATTGAAAAGTTGAAGAGAAATAGAGAAGTCGGGCAAACCTGCCTAACCCCAGTGCTGGTGTAGAACAATGGAGATAGGTGATTTTATGCTCTCACTCTACCTGAGGCGTTATTATATAGAGCTTTCAAGATTCAAATAAATTTCTCAGGCACAGCCCTCTTCAGCAGACAATTCCAGAGTACAGCTCTGTCCAACGAATTAGAGGCAGCCTTAATGTCAAGAAAAACAACGGTTGTCGGCCTGCAATACGTGTACCGATGTTCAGGCATCTGGCGGAGAGTAAATGCATGATCAGTAGATCCACGACCAGAACGAAACCTGACCTGCTCCTCGTGATTCATTTTCCCACACGTTTTGGAAAGTCTGCGAAGTATGATAGCAGCTAATATTTTTGAGGTGACTGGTAACAGACTGTTGCTACGATGATTGTCATACACACTACGTAAACCCTTTTTAAAGATGGGCACAATGATGGCCTCATTTCAGTGTGACGGAACAATCTGGTTGTGCCATACATTCTGAAACAATCTAGTCATTCCTCTGACTAGAGTCGTTGCTCCATCTTTAAAAACAGACGCGGTTAAGTTGTCTGGGTGGGGGCTTTGTAGCATTTCATAACATGGAGTTCGTTATGGACCTCTGCAGCGTTAGGTGGGTCAGTATCAAGTGACCATGGACAACGAGGCATTGAAACTGAAGATGCTGGATCCGTAGGCCATCAGATCTGCTTTTTTAAGTGTTCCTCCCAGTGTTCCAAGAGTCGTCAAAGATTGTTTATCGGCGTACCATCTACCTCACAAACCGTTTCACTGACACCAGACTTCTTGCTGCCAGTGGCTCGGATGGGATAGAACAGCTTCCGTTGCTCTATGCAGCTGCTACTTCCAACTCACTTGGGCGTTCTGACCGCCAAGCCTCACGGTCCTTGCGTATGTGTTATGTTTCACGTCAGTCTCTTACGCGAACCATTGTACTTACCGTCCGCGTCAAGAGATTGCAAGGGCTCACAAAGACCCAGTGTTTATTAATGGGACATTCTTCCAAGCTGTAAGTGGCTTTACTCGCCATTTTCATAGCGTCTTGCATGTGTAGACAATGGTCGTCTACATTTTCTGTTGGATCAGAAGCTAGCCTTAAATATAGTTCGGATCGGAATTCACCTGCAATGCTAAGTGCAACAAATTTGCTAGCATCGACGACGACACTTTTGATGACCAGCAAAACGCAAAACTGGCTCATGGAGAGTTGTTATTAGAATCAACGACATCTAGTGGTGTCTATCAGGAGTTCCCGCTCTTACTGTTCCTGTTCATTTTCGTTATAGATGTACCAATGAACACAACCTTAGGTGCGTCTAACTTCACAGTGACTTGCTTACTCACTGGTGGTCATCTGGCTGACTTAGAGTACGTGGACTGTACTGTCCTGTTAAGTGAAGATGCTGACAAAATGTAGGGTCTTTTGAACTTGTTGAGCAGAAATCTGAGAATGTTAGGCATGCGTTTTGCACCTGTCAAGTGTAAGATGATGCTTCAGGACTGGTCTGCACCTAACCCTAGTTTAAGGATAGTGAGTGAGATGGTTGAATGCGTCGACTGCCTAACCTACTTGAGGAGCTTCATCGGCTCGAACAGGCTGGTTGCTGACAAAACCTCAGCTGGGATACAGAGGCTCGTTTGGCATTCGCCAACCAGCGTCATCTGTGGCGCCAAATATCGGGATATCCGATTACCTATGAAAGGACGAATGTACTGTGCTGCTATACGTTTGTGAGACACGGCCGTCAAAAGTAGAGGATATAAAGTGGTCACAGGTCTTTGACTATAAGTATCTTCGTAGCATTGCTCGCGTATGGTGGAATCACTATGTTGGCAATGTTCGAGGTTAGGTGAAGAGTGCTAGGTAAGACAGGCAAGTCGGTTCATGAGCTTGTGAACCTTCAGCAACTGAGGTGGCTTGGACGTGTTGCTCATGCGGAGCCACTGCGTGCATCGACGTAGAATGCTAGGGAAATTTGGATTAGGTTGGAAGATGGCACAGGGTGACCAGACCGAGACATAGTACCAATATATGAAGTCTCTGACTGTTGATCTTGAACCGTGTATGGAGGTAGATGTAGACTACCTACTTGACTGGGTTTCCCGAAACGATAGGAACCAGTGGCTGAGGACTCTTGGTGAAATGCCTGAGAATCAGTCATAATGGCGCAGATGTATTGACTCATCTGAAGTCTATTGAAGCTTGATTGTTTTGACTACACTTCGTATTTAAATTCGTTCTCCTGATAATACACTTTTTGTGCTTTGATATTAGTCTTTTTCTATTCGCCTGTTTTTTTGTTCACTGCTATGAAGTGTTGCAAATGGTAGGGTTCTACATTGATTCTGTTTCCTTCTCTCTCTGTCTATATGATAAAGTCATGTAGGACTTTCATCGGGACTGTGTCTTGTTTCTTATATGCCGTTTTCAGAAATGAAAACGCGTTGAAGAAAATTATGTCATAATATTGATTGTTGCCAAAATTGTCACATAAATCTGTTTTGTATTTACTCTGAAACATGAGTAAAACCTTTCGAGTTTCTTATTGTCTGAAACGGGTTTTAGAATGCATTTCTTAGAATTTCATTAAAATGACAGCTGTTGGAACATGTGTGTATGAGCCACGTTTCAGCACATTTCTTTTTTCCGCATTAGATGTACGTGTTTTGTGTGTTTGCCTTTAGTCTGTGGACAGCACTGACTATTGGTTTACTATTTTTTATCAAGGCACTTTCACAACCTCATGCGCACTCATGCTTCCTGGGAGATTCAAGCGTATATGGTCTAAAATTTAAGGGTGAAACGTTATTCTGGACGACGGTTGAATAACATACTGATTAAAGACACTATTTGTTTCTGAATTGTAAGAATTTTCTTGATCTAGTGATCGATCATGTGCACTAACGGTCACCCACTACAATGTTTATGATTTCAAGTCGCTTACGTCATTAGAGCTGTGGCTCGGTAGTATAGATACTGGACTTTCGACCACTTAATCACAATTTCGAACATTATTTTTCCCACCGAGATTCGAACAGCCAACCAATATCTTCAGTTCTGATGCAATTAAGGCAGTCAAAGTTGGAAATGTATGGAGAACCATTTTAATAACGTCTTTTCCTCTAGGCTACTGAAATTCATTATGCTACAATAAGGATATGGAGTTTTTTTTTATCGTGTAATGAAGGCATGGTTACTAGTTGCATCTACCCAAATTATTAGTTTGAATTCTGATTGAGTGGTACTTCCACCTACAGTAGAGATGATTTTTTTTAATTTTTGAAGATGGATTGCTAATTATCCCAAGCGTGCTGGTTCACGTCGCCGCTATCTCCTTCGGTGGGGTGTTGAAAGTTATACGCTAGTCCCTGAACGTGTTTTGGCTATTGGTGAAGTTTTTACTCCTGAAAAATTTAAAAAGGTTGGAGAAGCAGATCCCAAAATAAAGTATAATCGACCGCCTAGCAAGATGAAGTGGCCTGAATATAGAGAAGTCCTTGTCAAGTGGTTACATTTGCCGTATGTTCATGCAACTTGGGAAACAGTCGAGTCAGATTTACTGACTTTAGACTCTCCTGCAGCCTGTGGCAAAAGTCAAAATAGTTTGTATGAAGTTCTCGACCCATGTGGGCGTAATTTATTACCACGGCTGGTGCGTCGACATATTATTCGATTAACCAATATATATTGCTCTCGCGTTGCAACAATGCTGTGTGATGCCTACGGAAATCAGCTTACACCAGGAAGGAAGACTAGGAGTTCAGAAGGTTGGAAAGTATGTTTTACGTTTTTATGTATATTGTGGTGGTGTTTAGTACGTTCTGGTTAATTTGGGTAAACTTTCATCTAAAAAGCAGTTAACTGTCGACCACGTTATGGGATAAGGATTACATGCTCAAGATTATTTTCATTTTTTCGATGTAATTAAATTTATGACTACGCCATTTTTAGTTTACTTCGATTGAACTAACTAATGAGAAATTATAAATTGCAGAATAAAAAAAACGATAATCTTGTTTACAACTCATCGATGGATTTTCACCTTTGCGTTACTTGCAAACGGTCTATCATAGTGTAATTATTAAGGCACAGTTTCATAGAAGTTAAATGCGTAGCGTTGGAAGACATGAAAGTTCAAAAGTGTAGAGGTTAGGTCTGATACTACACTTCATTCGCAAATAATGAATGTACTTTATTACCCGATACAACTGTCACCGTTTCTTTGTATAACAAATACGCATCAAGTGTTTGAAAGTAGATCGCTAACTGAATTTGAGCAGGAGCACCATTTAGTCTGACACTGCATTTGACTGCCTCGTAGTTGACAGGTTAACTTACGCTTTTTTGTACTGTCCTGAAAAGTGATTTCTCGCTTTACAATTTTTCATTTTTTCCAAATCATTAGCAATTCTTATCCTTATCACTGACTAATATTTTCTGTTTGTAAGCGTTTTATTTCTTTTGGGACTGATAATTTTAGAATACGTTAAATACTCTAACTAGGTTAGTGAAACTAATTTTAAGAGGGTTATTTTTTGTTTACGTTTCCTCAAATACATCTAAATCGGTGTAGTCAGTTGTGTTTCAGTTCATGTCTTTTAGTGGTTTGTCACAGGTAATTTTTAGTCCTCATGTTGTTTCGTATCTATCTCTTCATTCTTCTTCGTACAGGATAGCTACAAACTGTAAGGCTGTTTTGATGGAAAAGAGAACTTCAGCTGTATAATGCAATTGGTGGAGTTTTTTGTCACTAGTTGGCTTTACGTGCAGAAATGTTAAACATAACTTCTCTCTCAAATCAAAGTTAGATTCAGCGTAAAAACTATGCCTTTTCATGTTACTTTATTGTGGGTTTGGTTTTCTTTTTCGTAGGGACTTGGTGTTTTTTTGTGAAGTGAATTTGTTCATTTCTTTTTTTCACTAATATAATCTAGTCCAAATGGATGGGTGAACAACCTACTTATCTCTCCCCAATTCATCATGGTGTTCTTCATCCGTATCAAATGGAAGGCGTTAGATGGCTCTGGCACGCATATCATAATAGTGTAAATGCTATTTTAGCTGATGAAATGGGTCTGGGCAAGACTGTGCAAGTGATAGCCTTGCTTTATTCACTTTGGAAAGAAGTATGTAGTGTACTATGCTTGGTTACTGCTATATTTTATTCATTTATCATGTTTAATGAAAGAAATTATCGAAAATATTTAGAAACATTCGTGACTTTTCGACAAAACAATTTTAAAGGGACTAACTCTTTCAGGTTTGTGACTCATTCAAACACCTAATACAGATAGAAAGTAATCGAGTTTGGTCATTGTTGGTTCGTAGGGTGAATGAATATAAGGTCCTTAGTTTTTATTCCTGAGGTAGCGTAGTTTTGCACATATTTGGACTACTTGACCACAGTAGTATTTCGTCGGCTTTCCTTAGTACATTCATTTCACACCAGATCAACATCCGCTACTCTGGTTAGTTGAAAATGCTTGTATTTCCTAATGAAGCAAAAGCTGTGCCAGCTGAAACTATTGTTTTCGGAGGTTCTATCATGTTAAGAGGATTTGTTGCATGGTGGTAAAACTGAAACCAGTTACCTTCATAGTGTGTGTAAAGAAAACCACCACTATAGTGGTGTTCAAAGGCTGGGTTGTACAAATCATTGTACGTAATTTGACAACATTGACGTGTTTTCTGTGAAAAACCAGCATTCCAAGCTGATTTTACTTTTCCACCTTGGAGATGCGAAGTTTGAAATCATCTATCAAAAAATGGGGCAATTCCTATTCCAAGGACTTCAGTTGCTGATGCTAACGTTTTTCGTTAGGCATGGAAGTAACAAAATCAAACTTGAATCCGAAAGCTCAAAAAGCATGTTATCAATCTCAATAGACTGTCCGCTGGGCTCTATGTTGATCCGATTTTTGTTTTTTTGTACCTTACTTAGGTGTCAGCTTCTGTGGTTTGGACAGGTGAAAAATATGAACCGCCTACATGCTTGCAACTACACTTAAAACCTATCTAACTATTACGTACTCTCCCTACCTTTATCCCCTCCTTTGCCTTAACTACGTGTTTGCGTTTCCTATATCGTACTCTTTGCATTCTCCTCAACTTTTGATCTTGCGATCAAGGCTAGTGTTTCTAAGCTGCCGAACATGGTTTCCTATCTCTTAAAACCACGGTTCCGATTTCACATTGAATTTCTCAGTGCCCAAATGGTTTTACTAATGGCTGTTTTTAACGCTTAACAAGGGAACGTGGACCGGTCACAAAGGTATATTTCAGGTATTTACGGAATGCCATTCGGACGAACCGACAACGAAGATCATCCGTTTAATATATTGTCATGTCAGTCTCTTGTTCCTGACTGGAACTAACTCCAAATATAAAGGTAGTTATTGTCTCACTTGACGTATACCAAGACTAAGTCAGAGGTGGACACATAGATCATTTAGCTATAGGACATCTTTAAAGATTAACAGTGATAGGTCACCACTCTCTCTGCAGTACCTGCCTGGGCTGCAATCATATGTTCGTACGGAAACGTGTATCTGCTGCTTAAGTGAACACGTGAAATAATAATTTGTAAAGCGTTCCTTAGCCTGGCTAGAAGATGACAAAATTAAGTGTGTATTTATGGAGGATGTAGCCAAGCGTTTATCCGAAAACAAAAGTAATTCTCATCCCGATGAAGTCTGGCGTCATATTTAATCTGCTCTACAATTGGAAGCAAAAGCGATTAGTAATCTACAACCACGTTTAGTTAAAGCCAGTCGTCGTAGACTTAAGTAATGCCGGATAGCTCATTCTGGCTAGTTTTGATTTAGATCAGGAGTGAAAACAGCTGTAACATAAATTGAACAAGGATTCTCATAGTGACTTTGAAAAGTGTTACATGGCGTTGGCACTAGGTAATAATTAGCAGTTTTGTTAACTTTTTGAGATGAAAGAAAACGAAGAAAGTCAGTGAGACTGTTACCAGAAAGAATGGTTTTTTTAACCTCAGAAGAATATTAGGTGAAACGCTTTGAAGGACAATTCAACTGGTCCGTTGCCGCTTTTCAGTTTACAACGTTCAACTCGAACCTGGATGGAATGTAGGTACCAGTCCTCCAGGACTCATCGCAGTTGAGAAAGGTGTTTGTAACTATGCCAAGCAAAAAAATATATCTCTGTTGCCAGAAGGTGGTTTTAAGGATTGAGGTAAAGAATTACTTAGTCGGGTAGCCGAAATAGTAGCTGGCGTATGGGAATCGGAGGGAGCCCTGTCTTACTGGTCTATATTGTTAATTATTTCAATCTATAAGAAAGGGGGGACTTTTCCTATGGAAATCATAAGGTGATCGATTTGACTCATCTTTAAGATCCTAGGATCCATAGTTATCCGATGGATAACTTGTGCTTGGAAATAAAAAAAACTCAAGAGGAACAAATAAGTTTCAAACCTGAACTATGGTGTGTCTACCAGATTTTCACCCTTAAACTGGTTCTGAAGCGCAGGCGTATTTACCGTTGCCTGACAGTAGCCATATTTATTGCTCTGAAGATGGCATTTGATTCCATTGACTTAAAAGTATTGCGGTAATGTATGACTATGAAAGAAATACGGAGGAAGTATATGAGGCTAATCGTCACTCTCTACTTGAACTCACGCAGCCGTGTAAGGGCTTGTGGAGAGTTATAATTTTAGGCGACGACGATCGGCAGTGTATGCAATTTTTACTTAACTTTCTGGTTGACATACTCCTAACTATAACCTTGACTATCTCCAACTTCTCAGAAACTAACTTGTTACGCAACTACTTGACTAACTGGGAATACACATTATGGTCTTGTTAGGCGAATACGCTAGCAGAATGCAATCTTCTGAACATTGAGCAAAGTCTGAGTAGGTTGAGCATGTGTTTCCCATCTGTCAATAGTCAGATCGTGCCGCAGGTGTAGTTAAACGGATTTATAGTTTGAGAATAGAGAGTGAAGGGATGCAGTGTGTTGATCGTTTCACATACACGGCGCGTTGTATCAACCCGAATAGGTTACTGCCAAAATCTCAGCTTGGATATAGAAAGCTTATTTCTCATTTATCAACCTACACGATCCCTGGTGCCCGCGATATATCTGATTACATGTCAACATTCCACTCTGCCGTATATTTTTAATCCTTGGCCACTGAAATCAGCAGATGTGAAAATGCTACAGGCTTTTTTTATTTTAAGTATCTTTGTTTTATTGCTGATGACGTAACTACGATATGAGCAGTATTTAGATTAGTTGTAGAGTATTGTGTATGGAAGACAGGTCAATTAATGAGTTCGTTAGCCTTCTCTGACTGAGGTAGTTTGCATCACCTGTTGCGCATACCTAACCACCGCTTAGCATAATAATAAAATCCGGCACTAAGTCTCTGACTGTTGGTCTTTGTTGTGCATGGGAATGTAGTGTGTCATGTTGAGGTCCGAGAGACGGTAGAATTTTCGTCTCAGACTGCCGATGACATGGCTGAGAATGGCACCTTAATGTCGCAAATGTACACAGTCTTTATGTTTAGAATTTGAAACATTCTTTGACTTCTTTCTCTTTTCCTGCACATATATTTCCTGCGACACCATTCCTTCTCCGTCCACTTACTGTATACTGCTGTTAAGTGTGACAACTTGAGCGGGTGTATTTCTGTGTCAGGTTCTACACTGATTTTTCTGTCCTTCATTCCACAAGTCAAAGCGGTGTATTTTGTTTTAAGATAGTCAGTTTCATCTTTTAGAATATTATTTAGATAATTCTATCATGTTTAACGTAATCTAAACGTTGTAATTCATTTTCCGGCAATAACATATGGAAAGAATCACTAACTGACGCTTATCATGTAATGTCAGTCATGCAGTGTCTATGTTTCTTTGCATTTTAAGTATTCAGACCAGTTTGATTTCAGTACTGTAATCATTTTGTGATTTGGTGATCGAATCCTGAATTAAACAAAATAGTCGATCAACATTCTCGTTTAAGGAGATGATGCGCATAATAAGCTTACACATTGGTATATATGACCATTTAATTATTTCAGTTTTATTCTTTAAATAAACGTTTATCATCCGCTCATTAGAATTAAGTTTATCTTTCTACTATTCTTGTGCATTGGATACTCCATATGTATTAAAATTTATTGAACAGAAGATGGGAAATTTTCTATTAATTTGAAAATTGACACCTTGTTAGAACAAGTTCAGGCCTTCTCGACAGTTCGGTTCTTCAGGCTGAAATGGTACATTAATTGTAGTCTAGACTTCCGACCCCCTATTATTTGGGCCGTATGTTTGAATCCCACTCCACCCACTTTGACCTCAGCAGAAGCATGATTCAAGCTACCGGTTTATAATATTGTTATAGTGATGATAATAATAACAATAATAATCATTACTGTTACTTAAACGTTCACTAGTTATCTAGTTTTTATCCATCTACCCGGCAACAATTGTTCCCAGATGTGCTTATTCAGCGGTGAGTCAGATTTTTCTTTATAGATTTCATGTTTACTAACAATAATTTTTGTCATTACTTTCAAGTGCAAAATTTTGGATTTAGGTACTACTAGCTGTGATTTTTTATCCCTTGAAAAAATAACCGTGACTTCTTTTTTGTTATGATTACTTCTGTATGTATTAGGAAAATGATTACGGCCCGTTCATCATAATGGCACCTTTATCAACTTTGCAAAATTGGGAAAGGGAATTTTCCATTTGGGCACCCGATTTCTACATAGTTGTCTACAGTGGTGACAAACAGATACGTTCCATGCTTCGGTAAGCTTGTGTAGATAGTTTCTAGTGTACCAATGTATATTTTGAATTCATTGATCTAATACTCAAGTAAATTGTCGTGAGCATCTGTCGTCAAGATATGACATTTTTCAGTGTTTGTGCGTGTTTGTTTCTTCTGATTTATTTATTTATGTCAGTGTCACAGTTGACCTGTGAGTTGTGATAAGGTGGCTGATGACATTCAATTTAAAGAACGGGTATTTTATGTATTATAAGTAAATTTTTAATGAAGAGTTTACGCTCAGTGATAAGTTCACCCGTGGCACCTCATGGATGGGACGAAAAACATAACATCGATTGGAACAACATTACCATAACAAAGTACAACAAAACAAATGGAAAGAAAGGTTAATAGCAGAAATATATTTATTCATGTCACATCTAACACATACAATAAAGGTGAATCAACATAACTGTCAACCATTTGGAACACTGTATTGAACAAACAGACTAACGAATAATGAGTAAAGACTATTTGTATTGTGCCCACGAGTTAAATGTGTGAATAAATATTGCTAAAATATTCCAACTGTTGATGTGATCACAGGCGGTGAATTTGCTCAAAGTATTACAAAAATAAAACTTATCATTGTGTGTAAACTTTGCATTAAAAATTTATTCATAATACATTAGTCCATTTCACAACGCACAAACTTTTTCATTAATATATTTGACATTTAGTCTGGCATAACTTTTATTCTGTTCTTTATAAAACTTAACTACCTTTCTAATCAGTGGCGGGGCTATTTGTTTTTATCCTAACACATATATATCCATATTAAATTCAAATTGATCTGGAGGATTGGCTTGTGTACGTCCACTTTTGAAATGTCAAGTGCAATAGTATTTTTGAAGTTGTTTGTTTGCGGCTGATGAACCTCTTGCCATTTATTGACCTCAAGGTCACATTGTAAAGGTTTCCCCCTCCCCCCAGTTTTGACTGGTATATCTTGTACGTCTCTTGGATGTTATTAGGCAATATCACGTCTAGAATTGTGCAAAGATAATAAATACAGTGAAACACCATAACATAGCTATAGGGAATGAAAATTGGTCATGTGTAACAGTGAGACGCACATACTTCTAGGATTCGGTCATGAAGCTATGGCCTAGTGGTTTAGGGAAATAACTGGCGACTAGCGGGCCACGTGTTCGAACTCCGCTCCACCTACCGACGTTAGGGGAGCCAGGCGGTATCACTAATTCTCACACATTAAGGGTGTCTGAGTGCGTTTCGTTTTCCTTCGTTCCTTGGAATCCGGTTATTAGGATACCAAATGTAACAAAACTGGTTTCGCATCATAATCAAAGGCTTTATGCTAGATATTTGGAGTCCATTTCCTAACTTTCTTTTCATTATGGATGGTCAGAAGGTATCACTTTATCCTGTAAGGTTTTGATGAGTATCAGTATTTACCACAGGTGTAGATATTTTCTAATTTGCTATAGCAGTTTTCATCTTAAAAGGGGATTGAAGACTCTTCTTATCGATACTCCAGAGGGGGATTGGCATCTTGTCATCCGTAGTTCGAATTCTCACTTATCTTCACTTAAACAATCACTGTTACTTTGACTATCCTAGGATTGCATAGAAAACATATCTAATAGTTTGTTAAATTTTGTTGTCAATGTGCATTATAATGTATAGTGTATATCCTAAGCTACTTCAAATTTAGAATTAAGTTCCTCAGATGAATTATCCTTGCACCATATTAAGTAGTAATTGTTCTGCTGCTTGTAGCATGAATGACTTTAAAGTTATTAGTCACAACTTAATTCAACGTTCTGAAGAAGAGTGATGCTGTCGTTTCTGTCGAATGCTGACTAATAGTATGGAATTTTTATCATCTGCGCAATTCTACTCAGAAACATAACTTAGAATTAATTGGTAATGTGTTTGGTTGTGGCTTGGAGAGGAATCCAGGACGTGCGTTTCGTCCTGCTAGCCACAACCAACCAAATTACACTAACTAACACTCAGGCAGTATTGAGGCATCCGCATAGGAGCCCATATGTCAATAGAGGTCGAACAATTTGATCCAATAAAACAACGGAGAATTACAAGTTTATCAATAATTAGAATTAATTCTTCCATGTTGATCATACTGATTTATGTCGACTGAAAGTCTGCTTCTTGGTAAAATCTGAACCAGCGAAACTTTCATTCATCTACATATTACAAGTACATTTTTCATGCAAAGTTTATATACGATGGTAAGTTGTTATTTCGGTAATATTTTGAGCAAAATAAAAACTTACATTATATGTAAAAATTTACTTATAATACATTAATCCATTCCATAATGGGCAAACTTTTCATTGATGTACTGAAGTGATCTGTTTAATGCTTTGAACTACGAAACCGAATAACTAACTGGTTCCCAGTTTCACTTCATCCTCAGAGTCTTACATCCTCATGACATGAATGAGATATACTCAATTCAGTTCGTACTGTAAACGAACTATTAGCACAATTAAATCTAGCTCCTATTTCAGTCAGTCTGAATGTGAAAAGTGAGCGAATTATCAGTTATCACTTTATTAGAATAATCTCTTTTTATCCGCAGGCAAACAGTCAAAACGCTTGAAATTTTAGCGATATGCAAACCTGACTGTCAGTTATGTTACATAGCGCACTCGACAGAGCGTTGTTTTATAGTCTTTAGGTTGATTATTCGAAACGTGTTGTGACACATAAGCCTTCAACCATTTGTGGCGTGAATTAGCAACATCTTTTAAAAGGGATATGTGGGTTTGTGACTGCCTTATATTTCTATTTTCCTCACAATAGTGTGAGAGTTTTGTAAACACTTTCTGTTTTGATTTTTTATCATTCTCCTGTTGAAACAAATAAGTATATCTGCATTGGTGTATGTGTGTTTTAGGGAGTATGAATTTCGCTTACGAAATGCTGGTGGAATACCTGCTTTTCATGTGCTAATAACTAGCCATGAATTAGCTTGCATAGATCGCGCATTTTTGAAGAGTTTTGATTGGAGTGTCTTAGTTGTTGATGAAGCTCATCGATTGAAGAATAAACAGTCTCGCGTGAGTAAAACTTTTGAGTCATTTTTGTATCCTATACTCCGAATTATCGAAGTAGTCCTAGCTAGTATGCCTGCTAGAAAAGTCCGTTTTCATTCCAGATTAATGATTGAATGGGGACTTCCTGCATCCCACCCTCACGTGACCTTGAGTGTTTACCTCTGGAGAGTCCCAAACTAGAATAAACAGCTGTCCAGTTATCTTCCGTTTTAAATGGTACTCCAGCTAATGTCATTGCGTGATAAAAAATTACTTTCAAATCGCTCAATCCTTACAAACCACCAGTGAGAATCTCAAGTTGTTCAAGATTTCAAATTTTATTTCTTTTAAAGTTTCCAGCATGATAAAGATGTGATTATTTCTAGTCTTTACTGACTACCAACTACTGGAATATGTGTGGTGGGGAAGTTGACATTATTTTTTAGCTACAATGATATCAATATGTTGAATAAATCAAGAATAAATAACTGAAAATTCCATCTAACTTTTTTATCATCGACTTGATGCTAGTAAAATCTAAGATGAGTGTAGGTATAAAAAGGGAATTATTACTAACGATATTCTTAAGTAGTAACGAAAACCTGACTTCTTTGGTAATATACAAATGTAGAAAACGTTTGATTATTAATGCAGTAGTCACATATAATTTTAATAGTTATCAGTTACACCGTTATTTGGTATTAAAGCAAAATGAGGAATTACTGCGAATCGGTCCCAATTGTCGTACCTCACAGTATTATACTAAGATGAAATGTACCAAAACTAAAGACAAAGAAATGGAAAGATGGTCATGTGTCGTAGAAAGTCTTAACTGAAAAAGAATAGGAGTTAACGCAAATAATGAAATGTGATACAACAATTAAGATGATAGCAAGGTATGGACACATCTTCACTACTATGATCGATTCCGACATATACCGTCTATAGTCTCCAACCATTTATATCGAACGTCTGCATTTCTTACATTTCTCTACATAGTTCGGGTCAACCATTAGAGTCTTTATTAACTGAATAAACCAAAGCTCTGACCACAACTTTGTTTTATGAGCAACACTGTCCATAACCACTGGAATTATCTTTTGAAAGGTTACCTCATAGAGGTTAGCAACTTTCAAATACACCATTTTCTGGGCTATTACCCCTTAGCTTTTCTGCTGACAAATTATTGAGGTAGACTGTAGATCATCGTGCATCCTACATGTCTTGAACACCTTAGTTCACGAAGCTTTGCAAACTTGGTCAACTGACTTATCTCTCTTGTTCAACCTCTACAGTAATCACACAACACGATACCTATACTATGAAGACAATGGTAATCTAACACCTAGATCCTTATTTGTCCGCCGACTATTATTCGCTATATTTCACAAGTAACCAATACACTTTCGATTGTCAAACAGCGTATGAATTTAGATCAATCCCGGGGCAACAGTTTGCTTTTAGGAATTGCGAAATGCATTTTCATTTTTCTACATCAAAATAATATGAAACTAGATCTGTCAGGTGCATAATTCTACAACTCAGCTTTTCTTAATATCATTCACTTGCATGCATATGATGCAATGTTTTATGAATTTCTCATAAGTTTTACAGTTATACCGTTAAACCTGTAGTAAAATGAACCACCCAGAATTTATGTTATTTGCTTTTTCAATTTAATAGTTTTCAGAGATACTAGTCAGTATCAAACTAAGTTCAAAATTCTTTTGACTGGAACACCATTGCAAAATAATTTGGAAGAATTGTTTCACTTATTGAATTTTGTTGAACCAAAAAAGTTTACGTAAGTATTCTGCTAGGTTTGACTGCTTATATTTCTTTTTATTTATTAACATGATTTTTGTTTGAAGCCTTTCTAGTGGCTGCATTTGGATTCGTTTCTTTTGCATGTGAATAACGGAATAAAAAGCAAAATCTTAAGCTTAGGTAGTGCAGTTTAAATTGACTTACGTGTAATTTGTCTTTCATAGTTTTTTCTCCTTTGATTCCAACCTTAAATGATCATTGATTGACATCAATTCATTTTGGAGCTATATTTTGTCAATCCTGTTGAGTGGGTTTATTCATTCTGTAAATTAATGACAGATCCAGGCTCACCATGTATACTTCATCTAACTGAATATTATTCGCATTTTTATACAATAGTTATTACATGTATGTATGTATGTACGGAGTTACGGAAGTCGCATTTATTACTATTATCTAATGCACATTATTATTATATTATTGTGATCTATATTTGGCAACAGTAAAATATTTATGAATGTTTCTCGGCTGCCACCATCTGGGTTGTGTTATTATCAAGCTATTTGCTTTTACCCTGTGTAATCAATGATCCTCAGCCTGTGACACAAAATATGTTTGAAAATTTTGATTTCTTCTGTAAGTAGGCGAAAATGGACTAGTAACTAATTGACTTTCTCTTCTCAGTGGATTCTCTAGTTACTTATTGCACTTCAGTGAATGTTACATTCTGCTTATTTGATATTTATGTCCCCTTTTTTAACTCTTCACATATTTACATCATAATATCATGATATGTCATTATTATAATTTAATTCTCTCTTTCTTATGAAAGTGATTTCAGAGCATTGAGTGAACAATGGGCTGAAATGCCTAAAGCTGACCGCATTAAGCATCTTCATGATTTACTCAAGCATCATTTATTGAGACGTCTAAAAGCTGATGTCATTCAGGATTTGCCAAAAAAGACAGAAATTGTTGTACCAGTAGATATGACTTTGCTTCAAAGGTAATTACCTTTATCTGTTTGATTTTTTTAAAATTCTTGACAGTACTACTCCTTTGTCTGACAGTAAGTGTGTATTTTATTTCCTTCTCCTAGACGCCTTTATAAGTACATACTACAAATAATTATGAAGAATTACGGTGCGGCAATCTTATGAATAGTATAATCCATCTGCAAAAAGTCTGTGATCATCCTTATTTGATGCAAATTGGTGATGCTATTGCACCACGTTTGAATTCAGATGAACCAAACGGGCCTTATGAACCTAAAGCTCTAGTACAAGTTAGTAGTAAACTTATTGTATTAATGGAATTACTTCGCGGACTGTTCAGTGATGGTCATCGGGTCCTTATTTTTTCACGATTGACAATGATGCTGGACATTTTGGAAGAAGTTATGATAAATGCAGGGTAGGTCTTTTGCTTTCAAATGTTTGTTTATTGTTGTGGCTGAAATTCCCATCGGTTAAATGTTATTTCTAGGTACCGCCTCCTGTCGGTGTGGTTTGTTATTTACCGGCTGCTGATTTTCCGAAAGAAATTAATCAGCCCATTTCAGTACAGAATTTTTATTTTCACACATCTTTGTCACCGCTAATTGCATTATTTTCCAATGCTGATGAGTTGCCTAACTTAGGACATGTATTGTTTTTTTTGCGAACCCAACCAGCTTGTTTTATATGTGTTGCTCAACTCAAAGATGTGACGTGTCACTCAATGACTGCCTTGTATCGATTCCTTATTGAAACTGTACCTCATTAGTTTAAGCAGCCGACCTTCAACCAGCAGGCTATGGATTCGAATTCCACTTTATCTACCAAGGTTTGAAGAATCGCATAGTATCTGGTGTCATAAATCCTCAAATAATATGTGTATTTTCACAGCATAATGCATGAAATAGCACATAATCGTTATGTTTCACTTTCCACCATCTACCTTACACCATTTTATCTCTATTGAGGGTAGGTTAGAAGGAGCATTATTGTAATCAGACTAAGACGTGTAGACTTTCTGGTTATCGTAAAATAAATACCGGAAATACATTAACGTTGATTTATGGGAGACCGCTCAAAATTGACTTCAGTGTCTCGAGTACATATCCTCATTGCTTTCATCTTACTTCTGAGCATACTGTTGTTAATTCGTGTCAGTCTAGCGTAGCTATTTCGCGCTGTTTTTTTTTCTAGTTCTGTAACACTGTGTTAGAATAATTTAATCTTCTGTCTGAATTTAAGATTGAAAGATATAGCTTGCTTTTCAATATATTCTGCATTCATTACATAGTTTACTCATTTGTAAAATACATGAGTTATTTTTGGTCTAATTCGTACAGAAGTGACTTTTTAGGACTCACTAACTTTGTAAGTAACACCCTACCGTGTGAAGCGGTAAGTTACTAGTTATTTGTCCCTTGGATTCCTAGTGAACATAGGGCTTCAGTTGCACGTGTCCATTGCACTCTGTTCTCTGCAGTCTTTTGAACCTGGCTCAACGACTGCCCACAAGCCTCCATTTCTTCCTCACACGATCTCCTCCATATTACCCTCTCCTCGGACGCCCAACTCGTCGTTTCCCATTTGGGTTCGACTCGAGGACCTGGCCTGGCTTGGTTTGTGATGTCCCCAATCAGTCTTCTCAGTGTATGCTCGATTAATCTCCACTTTCTTCTGCATATTAGTTCAGAGATAGGTTCTTGGTTGGTTCGTTGCCCGGCCAGAGTTCCTTGTTGCTTATTCATTGTGGCCATCTGATGTTCAGCATCGAGTGAGTGTAGGCGGTAGCTGTTGATGAATGACTGTAGTTTGTTGGAAGTGCTTTTCGTGACGCGCCAAGTTTCTGAACCATATAGCAGCACTGACGTGACATTGGTGTTGAAAATCCGGACCTTGTTATTTATGCTGAGTGTAGTGCAGTAGATCTCCGCACTGATTTCAGATTAATGAAAGCCTGTCTTGCTTTTCCGATCTTGGCTTTGACGTCCCCATCTGTGCCGCCACGTGTAGTTGAAACGATGCTGCCCAGGTAGGTGGAAGAGGCTACTCCCTTTAGGTTTCTCCCGTTGGTGGTGATTGGTGCTTGTTGTTGTTGGTTTGGTATCTTCATTACCTCTGTCTTCCCTACGTTCCTTTGAAGTCCCGTCTTCACCACCTCTTCTGTCAAGTTGTTCGAGCTTGTGGGACATCAGACATAAATGATAATCGGCGAAATCCAAATCGTCTAGGCTCTTTTCATTGGTCCAGCTAGCGTATGCCCATCTCCTCACTCCTCCCAGTTTGCTGCATGATCCAGTCCACCACAATCTGTCTCTCCAGGATGATGCGCCTTAGTATTTTGGTTGGAGTGGACAGGGGTGAAGCATGATTCCGCAGCAGTTCTTGCAGAGTGCAAACAAAGTGTAACTAATGTAATTGTATCATATTTAATCAGAGTCACATTGGTATCTTGTATTTTGGCATTCCGAAGACATGTGAATGGTGTTGTTATCATTATTTTTTGGAATCGTACAAATTCAGAATAAATATAAAGGCTTATATATTTGTACTGATCTTTCATTATTAATTTGAAATAAATTTACAGCTGAACTTAATAACTCTCGATTTTTTGGTTGTATTGCATGCATTTTCAATTTCTGAACAATTTGAACTCTCTGTTGCACACTCTTCTTTTCATCTTTTTTTATCCGCATTGCTGATAAATATCTCAAGTATCTACTTGATTCAGAAGTATATATATATTCTGATGGAGGGAATATACTAGATACCAAACAAATGTTGATGACGTATATTGCCAATAACTATTAATCTGTGTTTTATGGTAAAATGAGAAAGAGTAGATTTTAAAACAAAGATCTGAAAATTTGATGACACAACTGTCACTCGTGTCACAATAAAATTATATTTTATTGCCTGTTTTCTACAGAAATCACAATATTTCACTTCATTAACTTTAATCCTTTACGTATGTCTTTTCTTATTTGCTTTCTTCCGATGGCTGTCCCTTTCTGCATTGTTAAGTTAAAGTGAAGTACCATTTAATCACTAAACTAAATTTGGAATTAAATTTGAGGGTGATGAATAAGGATAGGAAGTTATTATGATTTCAACTATTAATGAACCGCAAAATTTTACTTGAGTGAGAAGGTGTCTCTCTATTTACAATATAACTGCATGACGTGTATATACCTTTTTTATCCGTCGTGGTGTGGCAATGGTATTGACCACTTGTATCTTTTGTCGAACGTAAGAGATCCATCTCATAACTTGGTAACGTATGATTAGGTTGAAAATATCACAAGAAATCTCTTGACTACTCGATATGCAAACGACATGTTTACAGTGTTGAGATCGGAGCACACACATAGTTTCTTCACACGCAATCCAGTTCATATATGAATTAGAAATTATTGAAGGGGAATTAGCTATGTTGGATTGCAGAATAAAGGGAAACAAGATGAGAGTTTAGACACTAACGTCTATGGAAAACCTTCACATTCAGATCGTTACTTAAACTTCAAACCGTCTCATCCTATGTCAAAGTTGGCTTAGTGAAGCGTCTAAGTAACAGGGCTAAAATCTTACTAGTATAACAGAAGACCTAAGACAAGAAACCAAATACATAAAGGACATCTTACCAACATTAATCCTCCCAAATTATTTGGTAAGTTCCTTAGGAATCGTAAGAAAAATATAACCAATAATTGGTAACACGGGTATTAATAGTAGTAATAATAATGTTAATAATGGTAGTGGGAATACTGTGAAGAGATAATTCAAAACCTCTGCAGTATTATCATGCAAATTAGGGACCTCAGGAACACTGCGTAAAATTCTCAATGAGGCTGGATTAGAGTGCCATTTAAACCTAAAAACTCACTTACAAATAAGCTTTGTAGGTTAGAAGATCCTATTGCTCCAATTAAACAGAATAACTTAGTTTACCAAATCCCTTGCAACGATTTCGAGTCCAAATACGTCAGTCAAAGTAGTCGACCAGTGTCAATTAGGCTATCCGAGCACAAAACCCTAGCTAGGTCAAAATTGGTAGGTCCTATTAGATTGTTTATTTAATGTAGCACATATCGACATTATAATTTACTTGATGGCGTTTTGAGTAGAATTTATTGCTCATATTCTTATCAAAGAATATACCAGAGAATTTGAGCAATAAATTCTGCTCGAAACGTCATCAAGTAAACTGTACTCTACCACGGTGCCGAAGTTTTTCCCTTACATTCGTAGATCCTAGTAAGGTAAGGAATTTAGAAAAACGCTCAGCCATGGCTATGTTTGCGATTACATACAATAGGATGGGACAGGGTGAAAACCCTTAAAACTAACATAGGGTGGAGGGAGGGAGAGATTGATAACTAAATCTGTGTTTATCGAATCTGCATCTAATACAAGTAACGAGAATGACTCAGCATCTGTTCCGGATATATGGAAAATCTTACTACCCATATCACAAAAGGGGCGAGGAAATTATGACTATATAAAGGATATCCCAAAGTTGTGTAGTTATCTTGATTTAACTATGGACAATAATTTATGTCCGAAACGTAATCCAGTAAACAATACTGTTACACTGTATGATAAATCTAATAAGTCAATAGAAAAAGAATTGCATTTTCACACTGCGCAAGTTTTACTCTTGTATTAATCTCGTGACTAGTTTGTGGAAATCGATTTCTATGTTTAAGAAAACTGAAATTCATACTTTTAGTTGCTCTTTATTGCATGAAGTTACTTACTTTTCTGTAGCAGACTGCAATGCTTAATAGTGGGAATAGAGTTGTTTTGTTTCTTACGAAATGCAATGACAAATTGTCTTTGCACGTTGGCTTTGAATGCATCATATCCATGAAAACATTCATCTCATCGGGATAGAAGTGATTCCAGTGTATCTGTTACTATTTTGAATTTTGTTGCTTACATACATCCAGACAATCGATTTAAATTGTTTTTATGTCTCTCTTTTGTAGATACAAATATGTACGCATTGATGGTCGTGTACGAGGTCATTTAAGACAAGTTACAATTGATCGTTTCAATTCACCGAACTCAGAATTCTTTATCTTTTTATTGTCGACGCGTGCTGGTGGAGAAGGGATCAATCTTGCTTCAGCGGATACGGTAAAATACCAGTAACTGAAACAATATAAGTGTATCATTTTACTCTTTTTAGAATCAGATATTTAGGTGGATAGATAAGATCAAAAAAGGATCAAGAAATACTACGTAATGGTCCAAGTTGCCGCACCTCATATTAACTCATCAATTGTGAAAGTACCAGGACGAAATATAATTAAATGAAGAGGGAAGCAGTTAAAAGTGATAGACAGTCGTAACACCATGACAAAGAGGAATAAGAAAATACTGAATCCAGTATGACGATTAAGATGGGAATAATGCGTGGAAAAATTTGAGCCACTGACAACAATTCCGAGCTACATCACCTAGAGTTGCCAACCATCGATTTCGGTTGTCATACAGATTCCAACTGAAAAATCTACATTTTCATACACGCCTCACACCAACAGTCAGAGACTTCATGGATTGATGTCATGTATTAAGCCTCGCCGCCTATAAGCTTTCTCTAGTGTAAACTACTTCAGCTAACACGGCGAGATGAGCCAGACGGTGACTAGGCATGTATGGCACATACTCCAGCCATATAAGCCAATGAAGGTTCGAAACCTCACTAACTGACTTGCTTCTTGTGCCTAAACTCTAAGTCTGACGTCTTCATTACGGACGTTGTTGTACCATGACAGACAACCTATGTTACAAAGACACCTGTGATTGAATACCTGAAGGCTTGTCATGTTGTTTACCTTTACTGGTTATGTTTCACATTGGCACAGTAGAACAGAATGAACTGTAGCACAGTATACTCGGTCCTCAATCGACAACTGGATATCACGGTGTTGTCAAAGATGGCGTAGGTTATCGAGAGCCAAGAGGGCCTTTTGCATCCGTGAGCAGACTTCGTCAGTGACTGATTTGACCCAACAGGGCCCATCTGACTTCCCAGGTAAGTTGAGTCAACATGCTGAACTATTTCAGTCCCTATTGTTAGACAGGGCATCACTGAAGAACAGTCCTGGAGCCAAAATTTACATTTGAGTGGCGAGAAACGTATTCCAAACATTCTTGAATTTTCACTTAAGTTGTCCAGTAGACTCTGCATCTAGTCAATGTGTTCACTAAACAGGACTATGTCACCCGCGTACTCCACATCTACTAGTGAGTTTTCTGTTACAAGATCAGTCCTTGTGAAGTTAGATGTGGATAAGGAGACATCAACAAGTACGTCTATGATGAACTTTCAGGAGCGTGGAGAGAGCGGACAAACTTGATGGATGTCACTCGAAGTACACAACTCACTTGTTAACTCACCATCGCTTCTAAAAAAACCGGTATCCGAGTACAGAGGCTTCAACGAAGCGTTGTTCTTCGTTGGCACGCCTTTCAGTGAGAGCTACTACCATATGATGTCTGGGTCGACGTAACTGAATGCCCCTTTTTATGTCGAGAAATACAGCTAGTGTTGGGCGTCGGTGAGTGTCCGCGTGTCGCAGAAATTGGTGGCGACTGAATATCTGGTCGATAAACCCATGATCAGGTCTGAAACTTGCCTATTTCTTGCAGGTTGTCTGTTTCAGAGCTCCACTTAGACGTCTAATTAATATGGAAGGTAAAATCTCAGACAATGTTTGTCAGGCTTATTCCGTTGTGCTCGTCACAAGGGGCCTTTTCGCCTTTCTTAAAGACTGGGACAATTTGTGATTGAGACCAGTCAGTAAGAATCATGTCTGACTGTAGTGCACTAGCTTATAGTTCAGCTAATCTGACTAGTAATCTTATACCAGCGTTCTTGAATACTTTTGGTACTAGTCCATCTGTCTTTATTACCCTTCCTCGTTTCAGGTTGCTCATAGTCTTTTCGGCTTCTGTAAGTGTTGGGGGTCGTATGTGGATGTTCCACTGAGAAACCAACTGGATGGGGGATAAGGAAATAGGTAGAGGCCTGTTGAACTATTTCTCGGAGTTATCTCTTATGCGCAGAGTCGCAAATCTATATTCTCCTTTGTCGTCTCACTGACCACTGACCTTTTCGCCCCAGTTTCTTAGAAAATTCTCAAAACCTGTCTGTTATTACTTATCGCCGCTCCTTTCTCCTTCTCTTTAACCTTTGCTGCTCACCATTGTTTGCGATCATTGCGTAGACAGACCTGTAGTCAGCCTACATTTGGGTTGCTTCCGCTCCTCATTGTACTCGTAGTTTGCAAAAGTGCATTACCGTGGATCCATTAGTTCAGATGAAGCTATTGAGATACACTGGTCTTTTAAACCCCTCCCCCCTTTCAATTAAGTTTTTACAGCAGGCTGAACATGGAACAAGTTTTCTTCGTGATGAGTAATCTTGTTCCGCGGTGATACTGATGACTGTTTAGCAATTTTTTCACCGGAAGCGTCCTTAATGCTCTCATTTTCGAGCTGCCCGTGCAATTGTCTTATTCTTTTGGTTTTTCTAGGTCCATTTAGGTGAAAACATACACTTGCGAAATGTAAGAGCTTTTAGCATCGTAGTCAATTATTGCTGACAGATACTGCGATGGTTTACGTTTCAACTTTTCACTAGACTGTTTGTGGTAACAGTGTTTTTAAATTTTTAGTAAATTTTATCCGTATTAGTGATTCCAAGACAATCCATTATTTTGTTTGATTATTTCAGTAAGTCGTGACAAACAGGTTGTCGGAATTTCCACAATGATTAGTTCGGATATGTGGTATATTAATCAGCTTATGCCTAAATGACTGCAGTTGACCCTGTGTTTATATGTATGCAGAGCTTTCCTACTGAATTCAGTTTTTTGTAGCTGAATATGCGTTTTTATTGCATTTTTAATTGTCCTGTGTTAAAGTATTCTTCCTAGTTCACTTCGCTTTAGTGTTTTATGTTCAATGTATTAGTTTTATATCGATTCGCGTCTAGTTTATACTTCATATTTTGATTGCTCTGCTGTTTCATGATTGTTAAATCGATACGTTTAGTAATGAAAGATGAAGGAGGTCAGAGCGTATACGTAGGATTGTGATGAATTGGTCTAAATATTGTAAAGTTTTGACGGAACATTCTTGTGTCTTATTAAAAATCAAATTGTTGGCCTACTCAAAAAATTCAAATAACTTACACAATGATGCATCAGTCCCCGTTATCACCACTTATGATTTGGACAGTAGACCGAAACAAGTTCAGTACGCGTCTAGAATCACTTTCTTGCTTAGCATCAATGTGGTAGCAAACTTCAGTGTGATCGATCAGTGTAGTGTGGTGCCGAACGATAGTAAAAAAGGTTGTGTGGATTGGGTTCACTCAATATGGGTTTCATCATAGAAAGAGAAATGCTCCACCGTGACATGACACAAAATATGTTTCTAGCATTAACTGAAGTCAACTAACCTCCAAATCGGTTTATTGAGGGTTTGTTATACAACTCCAACCACTTATGGTGTTTTCTGGCACTATTAGGTGACAAGATTAATTGGAATTGAGTGTCATCAGCACCCGAATAAATCCCGTAATCTCGGTATTTGTCTGGATCCTAAACTTACTATTGTTGAATAATTAAATTTTGTTATCATTGGAAACTGGTTAAATTTTTTCTACTTAATGTCTGGTATTTTTTAATCAGGTTGTTCTTTATGATTCTGACTGGAATCCTCAATGGGATTTGCAGGCTCTCTCTCGGGCTCATCGGATAGGGCAGTCCAAACATGTAGTTATTTACCGGTTTATAACACGTCATAGTATCGAGGAAAAGATATCTCAAGTGGCACGTCGAAAACTTGCTCTGACTCAGTTGATTGTTGATCAGCATCAAAAGCGTTCTCCGAAAACTTCAGAAAATCCTTCAGTTCCGCTTCTGCAACCGCTTTTAGAAGAGAAGCAGCAGGAGCCAGTTGAAGATGATGATAAGGTGCAAACATTGACAAATATGAATGATTCACAAGCTAATCAAGACTCTATCTCCAGATCTGATCAAGACCATATTCTTCCAGATTCCACTCAAACACAATCGAACACCAAATCAGTGACTCGTCTGACCCGTTCAGAAATGGATGAATTATTGCGTTCTGGTGTCGAAGCCCTATTTGCTTCGGATGATTCCTATAGTACAGAGGATTTATACAATGCAGCTCGAGTGGACGGTTAGTTTGCTTGTGTTAAAATGACATTTAACGATGTTTGAACTGATCAAAATTTGATTTAAAAAAAGCTAATTTCAGAAACTAGTTAGTAGTTAGTAGATCAGTAAGGAGGAATTTTAAAAAAAGTATATACCAAAAGCATCTGAGATCACCGGTTTTATCAGATCTAGTTTATTCTGTTCGTGTGTCTTGTTGCATCTTCTCTGTTTTACTAACATGCTCAGTTGGACTTCGGCAACAGTTGATGCTGTTTATGCATCATTTTCAGGTATTGACATCCACAATGCAGCGTTTTCAAACTAATTGCATCTGTGGCCCATTGGTTTGGACACGACTTTCAACTTACAAGTCCCAGGTTCGAATGCAGCTGCACCTACTAAGATTTGGGCAACCAAGTAGCATCATTGGATCTCACGCAATAAATGTGGCTCACTGCCTACTGCATGAGAGCGCACTGGATTGTTGAATGCATTTCGTTTTGTCGTTTTAAAATCGACTTTATCTAGGTTTTTAAAGGACTGTATCACATTTTTCACTAGATCCTAGTCATCGTATCATATTTATTCCATTTATTTCTTATTATAAACTCCTACACATTTAATAAACTTCAGGATCAAAATTTGACCTACTAGAGTTGAATACGTTGATCATTGGGTAAGTGGACTATGTATGAAATATATTTGTAAAATCCCAATAAGCTAGGAAAATAAATTTCCGACCTTTGGCGCCTTCATGGAAATCAATTGTTTAGATAGGCTAAACAGTCGATAACTTGTTAAGTGAAGATGCTGACAAAATACGGGGTCTTTCGAACGCGTTGAGCGGAAATCTGAGAATGTTAGGCATGCGTTTTGCACCTGTCAAGTGTAAGATGATGCTTCAGGACTGGTCTGTACTTAACCCTAGTTTAAGGATAGCGAGTATAGTAGTTGAATGCGTCAACTGCTTTACTTACCTGGAGAGCTGCATCAGCTTGAACAAGCTGTCTGCTGATGAAATCTCAGCTGGAATACAGAAGACGCGTTTGGCATTTGCTAACTTGCATTATCTCTGACATAAATGGCAAGGCATCCGACTACCTATGAGAGGATGCGTATACTGTGCTGTAGTTCGTGCTTTCCTGCTAACATGGCTGTAAGATATGGCCGTTAAAAGACGTGAAGCGACCACAGATGTTTTTGTAGCATCGCTGGTGCTTGATGGGATTACCGTATGAGCAATATTGAGGTCAGACGAAGGGTATTAGGCAAAACGGGCAAGTCGATTGATGAGGTTGTGACAATTCATCGACTAAGATGGCTTGGACATGTATTAAGCATGCCACCCCACCACCTACCTCAACGCTTCATACTAGGGGAAGTTGGATTAGGCTAAAAGATGGTTCAGGGTGATCAGACCAAGACATGGCGCCAGTCCAAAAAGTCTCTAACTGTTGGTCTCAGGCGTATGGGGAGATATAGACTATCTGGTTGGGCTCCCTAAGAGGAAAGGAATCATTGGTTGGGGACTTTTTTGACGTAGCTGAAAATCGGTCATAATGATGCAAGTGTATTCGTTCCCTGACGTTACCTAAAGCTTGACTATTCGCTCTAACCTTTATCTTCAAATTTTTGGTTCTCCTACACAACTTTATCTACTTTGATATCACCCTTTTTCTATCCACTTTTTCTTTGTATGCTAATCTGTAGTGTGGTAACTTGAACTGATGCATTTGTATGCGAGGATGTATGCTGATTTTTTCTGTCTTTTATACTGGTGCATGTATCTTGATGTAGTTGTGTGAAGACGAGGACCGCTACTCATAGTCTCAAGCTTCATGACTAAATAACTAGCTAGTTAGGCTTAGGAGTCGCGCCTTTATCATGTAATTCATTAACTGCATTATTTCTGCGAAAGTTAATGAATTGAACACTAGGGTGCAGCTTGAAAGTCTTATTAACCAAACAAGCTGTTTTGTTTCGGAAACTTCTGATAATTCAGGTTCAAAATACTGCATCGTTGATATCCGTACTTGAAAGTGTTTCATAAACACCACCAGCTGTTGTCAAAATGACACAAATTTCAACTGAGCAAATTAGGAAAAACTCGAAGGTATAACTTGCATTTCTAGACAAAAGGGATTAGGAATTGTTGTCCTAAGGTTGCAAATCTTAAGAAATATACTTATGTATTTGAAATTTATTGAGCAAATAGACGACATATCACGTAAAAGTTGAGTTCATTGAGTAGAAGTGTAGGAAGTTATCAAAAACCATTGTATGTTAATAAGTTATTTTGGCTTACTTTAATATTCTTGGTAACTTTCTGTCAGCAATTTGAATCGCTGTTAGACTTAATCTTACTCATGTGTTAGTTTCCTGATATGTATAACTGTAATTTGTGTAGCGGATGAATCACGAGACTCCTGTAGAAGAATTGTGTATGATGAACAAGCTATTTTAAAACTACTGGATCGTTCACAAATGATGGCTGATTCGGAACAAACAATTTCAGCTGCTGATGAGTATTTAAGTGCTTTCCGAGTTGCACACTTTGATGAAACAAACACTGTTACTGATGATTCTGAGGCAAAGCATAATGAGGAACTAAACGATAATTTTCAGGAATCGGAAATTACAGAAGAGAAGACAGTATCAGTTCATCCAACCACATTTATTCACGAAACAAATACTGAGGTATGCCTCTTTACCCAAATTCATAATCTGTGATTTGCTATTACACTCTTTAACCAATTACTTCGATTATAGTTTGCCAAGTTTTCTGTGTCATGTTAAAAGTTACTGATAGGACTTTGTGTATACAGTATTCTGGTAAAACCGGGTGAAGCGTTATTTTTGTGATGAAAATACCAGTTTCAACAGAAGTAACTGCTGTCTTAAAGGCTTTTTGTCTCAGGAAACAAAACTCCAGTTTCCCGGGACTTCTTGTAGAATTGGTCACACTGATTTTTATGGAAGTGAGAATGCTGTGTTTGTGTAATTCATTAAATTCTCACAACATATTCGACATATTTATGCAATACATAGGAGACTTGTCTTAACTGCTAATTTTTTTTATTGACATGGTATCTAATAAGAAATGATATCAGAAGTTGTACCAAAAAAGTATTTTAAGTACTGTTTCTTTAAAATCCCAATCGCAATATCACTTTATGTATTTAAGGTTGTAAATTTGGAACCAATTCAAAGTATTTTCCGGCGCATTAACTCTGTCAAACAGTTTATTAATTTCCATGCAAATAGAACGCCATATATTTTTTTAAAACCTGTATTTATATTGTACAGTTTTTTCTGCAGCTTTAAACTACTCTAATTTCTTTCCACCCATCCAGATGCATTCATTATTTTCTTTGTCACAGGCTCCCAGAATTTTATCTCATTGCTGTCACTGTCTACTATTGTAATCAAAAGTAACTGTTTACTCGAGACTTAGTGTACTCTTTGAAGACTCATCTTATACTTGACTAGATTCTTATGTTAATAGGTCAGTCACTGGAAAAGAAATAAGAGAAATAGTGGGAACTGACCATCCGATAATTCACGGTTCATGCGTTTATACATGTGATTTGCAATCTGACATTTCAAAATAAACTAAATTAAATCAAATAAATCATTTGAGCTATTGAGAGAATAACATTCTCAGTTAAGTAATGTATACTTTCCAAAAGATGAAAATACAACGGTTTTTCAGATGTGGCTGCGAAACAAAATTTTGAAGTGCTTGTTTTGTTAAAGCTTTTTCGATACATAAATAATCCGTTGAAGTATATTTATCCAAGTTCCTATCTTCCTTTCCTGAGTCCCTTCCCAACATGTAATACTTTTAGATATACAAGGTCGTTGATCATCTGCTTTTAAACTAAAACGTAATTTGACTGATAATATACAGAATATGTCGCTGTTCTTAGTGTATTGACAAGCGATATTATTGATTTCTTCTTTCATGCTTTTATCAGTGCATTGGATATGCTGAATTTTGGGATAAACTGTTACGTGAGCGTCATGACCGTCTTGTTAATGCGGAACTGGAATCAGCAAGTAAATCAAGGCGCAACAATCGAAGCATTTATAGACAGGTCTTAAGTGATTTGATAACTGATAAGTCTCTTGATAATGTCGAAGAAGTAACTATCAGAAAACAACTAAAACTTGAAAAGGATGATGAACACTCAACAGATTCATCTGTCGGTGATAAGGAAAAACTTTTCAATAGGACTGAAGCTGTCCGTGAAGTAACAAAATTACGTTTGTCCCGGCAGGAATTGCGCAAAGTCTTCAACTTCTATCATAGATTTGAGGATGAGAAGTTAAAATCTCTAGTTGAAGAACTTAAAAGTAAATATGCAAGTCTGGAGAATGAAAACAACAGAACTAGAACTCGTTACTCAAAACCAATGCCTGCATCAGTTAAACGATCAAGGTTATCGAAGTCAACTGGTAAGATGGCAAGTTACCAACCTATTTATCCGTCACCCAGTTTTCAAGATTTTTCCACAGACCATATAATAGATTTTGAGGATTCTGAAGAGGAGTGCTCGTTTCCTGAAATTACCAGTGATGACGATCCTTCTTATATGCCGTCTGATGAAGGTGATTTAGTCGACACTGTTGAATTAAAAGATTCACTGCCATCATATGTAAGCATTTATGTAATTTAGTAAACAAGACCTTAATTTTGTGTAACATATTTGACTAATCATACGATTCTTAGACAATCACTGATGGAACGTCACATAATTATATGGATAATGAAAGTCATAAAAGTAGCGATGAGTCAAACGAAATTCAACTCTCAGTCAGTCAATAATTAAAAAGATTTTTACGATTATAATAGGAATAAGCAAGCGATTAATCAAAATCCAGATGAAATAAAAGAAAGACTTAGTGAGTGGAATTCATTACAACAGGCAGTTTTGTTCGAACAACTGCTATATTTGGTTTACTTATATTTAGGTGATAGGAGATTTCACTTTATTGTTCAATGAACCCTTCACGTCCAAGTTATTAATCCATCATGGAATAAATGGATCCATATGTCTACGTATGAATATGAATAATAAAGCAGTTTTATGTAATATAATCATAATAACTTCTAACCCAATAATTTTAAATCTTTTGAGAAGCGTTAACTTCATCCAAGATATTTTTCGCTATTTCTAGCATCATTTATCATCACTGAAGTATGCTTGTACCTCATATCCTCGTACTCCAATCTACCTTGCATAGTCTAGGTAATAATTATTATTCAATTGGTAGTTTATAGGGATTAATTGACTGCAGAGTAGTTTTCATCATGTGTGTGCGTACTGTTAGACAGTTAATTGTAAGCTAGGACTAAACAGCTGTCCAGAGCTCCCAGGTTTCCAGGGGTTTTTCAACTAGTTTCAATTCGTGATGAAAATTAATTTCTGATAATTA